AGGTTCGCACATCTTGAAAAGTTAAGGTAAAATTTTTCAATTTCGTCGTTTACAATTCCTGTTAATCTTCTCCATCCTTAACCATCCCTGTTCCTTCATGAATTATTATTATCTCTTTGATGTTTATTTTTGTTTTAGAAAGCTATTATTTTCAGGTTTTTGTACGTGGCAAAAATAACTCAAAATACCATGCCTGCATTCCTTTCAGACCCGGGGAGGGGGTACTCAGGTAAATAGTGGCGTGGAGGAGCGAAGCCTTTTTTGACTTTAGGGCAGGGTTAGGGGAGGACGAATAACAATAAGAGAATATGAATTTAGTGGCGAATTGAAGCGAAACCCAGGATTCTCATTTTTATGTCAAACATTTGCAACAATTACACTAAAACCGTAGACTTAATGTAAAGAAGACTGTTCCAGGTTTATTTCACCGTCTTAAGTTTGTAACAGACGTGTGATGAAAACAAAAGGTCGTTAAAGCAAGGTGGAGGCATTAATTCTCTCTTGTATTAGTACGAGACTCGTTTTAGCCTAATAGCACCTCATTCGGGTCTAACAATTTGGCCTTATTCGAACCCCTCTCCCCTATCACTACCATACTTGAATGCTTCGTGAGTTTGAAGGCGTTCAAAATATGAAATGAACTAGTTTACAATGTCCCAAGATTTGTTCATTCTTTTCACATCGTTGGCTCACTCGGTGAAGTAAATTATTACACTTTGCAACACATTCTCAGCCTATCTTTGCAGCTCCACAGCAACAGATTGTATTGTTTACTGTGATCTTACGGTTTGAGAAACATACCCAATAAAAGAAATAGATATTAATACATGGCCGCTCGTACATATGGAATTTTTCGTTGAGTGTTTAACCAGATATTGCACCGGCAAGTTAACGCAGCGACGCAGCGAACGAATGAAATATCGAATTGAATACAAGATTAAAAATTCCATATCTATATGCACCCTTGTATTATTCTCTTTACTGTAACAAAAGAGAACGGAAAGTTCAGCTATCGCGCTTTGTTTGAAAAGAAACGCATCGAGACCTTCAAACGAAGAAAATTAGTCAATTTCGACACACTTTCCAAGACCAAATTAAAGTTTTGAAGAAAAACGAACAAATATGTAAAGAATACCGGCGTAAACTGACACTTCGAGCTGTATAACGCCATATGACAATCATGATCAGTTTTTCCTTTTCTCAGACGAATTTCATTTCCGATTGCCGACGCAATGTAAAACGATCTAGGAGAAATTTTAATTTCCGCATGGTTACGATATGGAGTGGAAAATATATCAAAACTAACGAAATTATTCATAAAATTCAACGATGTTTACAAAGTAGTTTCACTAAATCCGTAAAATTGATTCTGGAGTAATAATTAATTCCTATTGGACACATTTTGTTCTTTTTTTTGTTTGGTTGGTTGGTTGCTCGTTTGTTTGTTTGTGTATAGTAGAAACCCAGTTCTATGAACAAATGATTGCTCGGCGTGCCTTTTTTCCGCGTTTACATCCGATAAGAGAACATGTTTACAAACGGTAACAAATTTTGCACCATGTCAAAGACGTTAGTTTTTCATGTACATCTTAAAGACAGTTTTGTAGTCAGCGAGATAAGCTGGAGGACATGATCTACATCTCTCCCTCAAGTCTGCGATAACCATGAAGATACAAACAGCAGCGCGGAAACATGACTCACTCACTCTTTCAGCAGGTGGAATAAACAGGCCTCTCTCTTATTACGTATTCCGTTCGTCCCCCGCTCGAGGTATCTGTCCGAGATGAAAATCTAAAAAAATTGATTCTGATGACGTAGATGAAAAATAAGCCTTGACTACTTAGCATAAGAAAATTCAGCACAAACCTGTTTGGAAACTCTAGTAAAAAAATTGTCTTGTCTCAAAGTACTAAATTGAGGTTTTCAGCAGTGTAAGACAGATGTATGTAAACTGCTCCATTCTTGCACAAAGACTATTTAAATGTAAATGAACTATACCAAATTGCAAGATTGGCAAGTTTGAGGGATTTACCGACTGGCTTGAGTTGGAACAAAAAGCATTATGCCAGATCTTTGAAATGTTAAAAGAAAAGTCAGTTCATGTTTTATTCAGTTTGTCATCTTTAAAACACAACTGAAAAAATTGTGGTTTACTCTATTAATGCTGCTGTGTGTTATAATTGATTATTATCATGGCTTATGCTTGTAGCCGATGTAACACACGCTGTGATTGGCTAATTCCAGGGCATTATTCTCCCATAATGCTCATGGGCCGATTATGGGCGTGCAAAAGCAAAGTAAAAAGCCATATAATAAACAACTTATTAACCTCAAACGTTCAGTCTTAACAGGAAAATCTCAAACCTTGGCTTTGCTGTACTGACCTCGCTATCACTCAGTCACTACGGCAAGGTCTCGGTTTGAGATTTTCCCATAAAGACCTCACTCTCGACTAATAAGTAGTTAATATTACAGAGAAAGAAAGCTTCAGTAGCTAAGGTCTCAATACTTATCAAAAACATCAGCAGATTTAATAAGAGTTGTATAAATACAAACTTGACGGTGTTTTATTTCATGAACAATAAAGAGAGGAAAAAAATAACATACAAAACAACTTAAAGACACTTTGTTTAAATAACTACGAGTTAGCAGCCAGGAAAGTTCGAATCCTCAGAAGCATGTCTCTTTTGACTTCATCAGGAACTAAAGCTGTGTATGAGAAGAAAATAAAGCAATTTTAGGGTTTGCATGAGTGTGGCAAGGTCTTGTAGTTTAGAGTGCCACACAAGTTGGATAGAGGAGTTGGGAGTCCTGTGATGGAGCTGTAGGAGGGGGGTGAATAGTGGTATGCAAATCCACCGATCCGTGTCTTTTTTTTGCCAAATCAGTCGATCCGCCAAAATTCTTGTTCGAATCTGAAACAACAACCACATCCAGAAACAGAAGTGTAAAAGTTCAAAGGCAAACTGGTAAATGTGAATGCCAGAGTGAATTTCGCACAAATAGTAAAGAATGCAACATGCTTGATGACTATTACACAGTACCATTCCAATAACAGTCTCACACCTGAATTTAAATGCGCTTCATTTGAAAAAAGAAATAACTGAACTCCTTAACATACCGACCAAGGCTGAAGAAAGATCTATGATTCAAATTTGGTTCAGGAACATCAAGACAGGCACAATCAGGAATTCTCGCCAAAATTCACAGCTGATCCATGATCCACTGTGTTTTCAAAAATCCGCAAATCCTCTCGATTTACCGCAAAAATCCACAATCCGTGCACTTTTTTAAGGCCAAATCCGTCGATCCGAAAACCTATTCACCCCCCTCCTGTGGTACTTAGACTGATGTTGTGTTTTTAGTTAAAACAGTAATCCACTTTCCAGTGCTATTAATAAGGTTTGAGTCAACGATCATAACAAAGTTTTTGCTCTGTGGGTGAATTATACCATCAACTAGCAAGTTCACCCATAACATCAAGTCTCCCTCAAACATACTTAGCTGTATCAGGTATTACAGGTTACAGCCCTTAATAACAGCCCTGCAGTATTGCAGAACCTCACTCCATTTAGCTGTACAAATAGCCTCTTCCAGGCATTCAGCTGGTTGGGGTACAACAATAAAGTGGAGGAGAAGTGAGGTGCGTGAAGGCAAGAAAATGTTCGCTCCTCACACCAAGCCCCTGTGCCCTTTTTTCACTCCTTGTTTTTAATGCTGCACCTCAACTAACTGAACACCTAGAAAAGGCTAGCGTAGAAACTGATAAAAGCATGTTTCAGGAAAAACCTGGTAATAACGCTGGAGATAACATCCAATGGACTAGTATATCTAATTGAACGGGAGCATGTATAAGACTGATAAGGCTCAGATGTACATATAGAAGCACAACACAGGTGATTAGTAATTTATCAACAAATCTGTAATGATCTCACCTCTTCCTTGTGGAGTAATTTCAGCAACCAAATCATCCACAGTCACATTTTCAAGTCCTTTTTGCTTGATGACCTCTGAAAAAGAAATATCATTGTCATACTTTTAAAAGTAGCCATGCAGTTACGAGTTGCAATGGCTTTTTGAGGCTCCAACCCCGCAATTCATTACAAAAACACTCTCACCTTTACAGTGACTCCTTAACTTGTCACGCCATCCACATTCAATGAGCCTGGTCCTCAAAAGCTCCTTTAACCTAGACGTAATTATAATGAGCAATACATTAAGCGTTAGCTTGATGGTACATCTTTAAATTTCCATTTCGAAGACAATCATACTGTCGCAACTTATCTTTCAGAGGGCAAAATAATATTTGAGAGCTACACTACGTTAAAAGATTACTTCACCTCTCTCGTTCTCCGGATTCTACCAACTTCTGGTTTATTGAAGCTGAGAGCTGGCTGTCTTTTATCCTTCTACAGTGAAATAAACAGTTTAAGAAAGGAAAATAACATCAAACTGATTGAGCCAAACTTCGATACTTACTCCACCATTTTGACGCGTCGAATTATTGAACTCCCACTTCATATAACATTATCACGGATTTCTTTCTTCTCGCCCCAGTCTCTTTACAACAGTTCTTCTCCTGTGGTGTCATGTAAGAAGCACTCTTTCCTCCATATTTGAACTTGTTTTATTTTTTATTTATTTATTTGTTTGTTTTTTGGAGAATTGTAATGCAATTTTATAGTTTATTGAGAAGTTATTTTATTTCAAAAGTTACCAATGGCTTTTACAAAAACTAAAGAAAATGAAACATAGGAACTTAGTCAGCATGTAGTATGTCCATGTTGGAAGTTTACGGGGAGCAGGGACAGTGGAATGGTGAGAGCACTCGCCTTCCACAAATGTAGCCCGGGTTCAATGCCACCCTAGTGCCATGAATCTAGTAAAATGACCTAGCTCACCACAAGTCTCTCTGTAGCTCAGTAGTTAGAGCCTGTGACCGGCATCTAGCTAGGTTAAGGGAGTTATGGGTTTGAATCCCTTCAGGAATCAGATGTTTCCTTTGTCCCACATGAGCAGCATGCTAAACATTTCATCTTCAATGTTTTTCAATCCTACTACCAGCCTTAGTATATAAGGGTTATTAACCAAACATGAGGTCATGATGGCTTGATATTGGCCAGCAAGAAAACGAGGCCAATATCCAGCCATCTTGACCGAACAAGCTTGGTCAATGAAGGATTTATTATACGGCTTTCAGGGAAATTTTTCTTGCAGGTTGCAGAGGGTAGTCCTGAGTGGACAAGATAGCTCCATCTTGCCCGCTCAAGTAGCCAATCACAGTGCAGGATTTGGTTCATCTTGCCTACTTGTGGAGCTAGCCATATAATAAGGTCTAATATATCAAACCTGTGTCAAATTAAAAAAGGCTGGATGATGGGTTTTATCAAATCGTGTTACTGCTTGAGATGATTTTTTGTTTGTTTGTTTCATTGTAAAATCTCTAAATGTTGAATTAAAGCATTATTGAACTGGATCGGACCGGACCGGATCACGGATCGGATCACGGATCAGATCACGGATCGGATCACGGATCGGATCACGGATCGGAT